ATACTTGACCTACAGTCTATACACACTACCCGTGATACTTGACCTACAGTCTATACACACTACCCGTGATACTTGACCTACAGTCTATACACACTACCCGTGATACTTGACCTCCAGTCTATACATACTACCCGTAATACTTGACCTACAGTCTATACATACTACCCGTAATACTTGACCTACAGTCTATACACACTACCCGTAATACTTGACCTACAGTCTATACACACTACCCGTGATACTTGACCTACATGCTATACACACTACCCTTGATCCTTGACCTACAGTCTTTGTTTTATTCTGTAGATGTTCAGTATAAGCAGAGACGTATATATTACATTTATGTAATATATACGTCTCTGCTTATACTGAACATCTACAGAATAAGCAGAGACGTATATATTACATTTATGTAATATATACGTCTCTGCTTATTCTGTAGATGTTCAGTATAAGCAGAGACGTATATATTACATTTATGTAATATATACGCGTGATACTTGACCTAGTCTCTACACACTACCCGTGATACTTGACCTACAGTCTTTGTTCAATGTCATCCTCTGCAGGGTTCTTGCAGCCTTTAATTGATTTTCAGCCATTGCAGTGATTTCACAAAATTGACCTTCAATCTTTGCAGTATTCACCTGATGGTGACTTTTGCTCTTCAGCCTCTAGTGTTCACACTTTATCCTCACAGTAAGTAATTTCACAATTGTGATGATATTCCACTTACCTCAATATTTCTTTTGTCAGTTAGAATAAGAATTTATTTAAATAAACAATCACTTTGACTTCCTGTCTTTGCTATTTTGTAAACGTTCACTGATGACAGAGACAAATTGGGCTTTATTCATATCTTGAGAGATAATGAAATTGTTTTGCCCATCATATTTGTTGTGGGTAAAATGAGTCGGACTCTGTTACGATGAGACACAATCTAATTATGAAAAGTGAAGTGTTTCAGCTGTTTTATGGTTTCCATACAATATCCTACTCAACCAAATCACTAATAGCTCTACCCACACAGACATATGAGCCAAGAGAAAATATTCCTTGTCGCTTGACATCATTTAGGTAAGCTACAGGTTAACAATTTTGCACCTGCTAGGAACAATTTCATTAATCACGAAGTGTTCTGTGCCAGTCTCTGCATATATACCTTCATTGGTACTGCAATAAAAAGGCAAAATAAAGATAAATTTTGTGTATTTTATTTCAGTAGAAAAACAAATGCATCCCCTTAACATCAAATGAAATTAACACAAAATTGTGTCATAACTGTTAAAAGTTCTTCAGCAAGAAATTGTAACCATATACAGACTGTTTGTCACCAATAGTACTGTAAACAGTAACATTTTCATCCAGTGAACTTTTGACCTCCAGCCTTTTAAAACAAGCTCACCTACTGTGGATTTCATTACAATTCCTAGTTTTTCCTGGTTTTGAATTTGCCATCTTGTTCATTGGCAAAAATAAAATGAGGCGAACATTTCTGTTTAATATTATAACAGTTATTGCCAGAATTCTTCCCTAATCAGACCAAGGTTAACACTGGCATGTCTGATCTTCCTAAAGTATTCTATTTATCCTATTGATTGTTGTCTGACAAAAACATTGATCTGTCTTACTGTACATCCATATCCTACCAATATCAAAATAACGGGGACAAAATAGTCACGAGCTGGTACAAAATGAGAAGCATGTGCCTGGAACTGTTCAATAGTTTTACACCAAAGACCTTGTGCGATTCACTTACATTACTAAAATGATTCCTTTAGTACTGCAGTTGGTAGCAAACCGAATGATTACATGTAGTAGTGAAACAAATGATCTCATGTGGAATGACAAAACCAGTAACAAGACGAAGCATCGCTTATCATCATTCATTCACGCACCATAAATGCCAGTCGTGGAGTCATGAAACATTTCACAAGATAACTATATAATGGCAAATCCAAAATCATGCTACAAAGCTGTAATAAGCAAGGCAGATAAACAGTGTCTCTCAATACTGCACCAAATGATTGCTACCCCCCCCCCCCTCCCAATTAAAAAAAACCTAGATCTAATCTACACATAAAATTTAAGTTACCAAGCAGAAAGTTACATCACAACACTAAATAAAGTCCCAACACAAAACAATGAAACACTATTGGACATAATAAACCAAGGCACCTAGTGTTAGAGTATATTAAACATCGTATGATAATACTGCTCCAGTCCTCAGTTTATTGGCCTTTACCCCTTTCAGCTGATCAGCATAAATATTCTCATTAGTACTTAAAGTATATTTATATATCATAGCTTTTATCATGGAAACACTTATACTTATTACATTTATGTAATATATACGTCTCTGCTTATACTGAACATCTACAGAATAAAACAAAGAACACAAAGAATTAAGAGAAGTGAGCATTATAAGGTCAAAGCTAGACCTTTCCAATGTGATTCTAATAAACATTGATGTTCATTTAAGTATACAAAGATAACATGAACTACAAATTCATGAACTAAAAATGTGGCATCTAGTACTGGTACAGTATTTCATGATTTTTTTAAAAATTAAATATTTTGTTTAAAAATCAAGCCTTTTATATTTATTGCAGTAAATTATATAGATGTTGCCTCGGCTGATGCTTGTTGAAGTTAGTTTGTAATTTTCATATTAATCATTACAAACTAGAGGACTTTATATAATTTTCTATGAATGATTAACAGTATTGAAATCTTGGAAACACTGTACTTTCATTATAAACATAATTAATAGTTTCTGTGGCATCTTCCCACAAACCAATGTTTAATTGAATTTGGAAACGGTAAAAAAAATACATAATCTGTATAAACATATGCAAGCACACACATTGAAACAATACATAGGAATGAAAAACCGAGCACTTCTTCAACTGAAACATAATCAACTTCCAACTTCCAACTTAACTTCTTGCTTGTTTTGGCAATCTCCATAGTTAAATTCAAAGTGACAGAACCACAAATTAGAAGAGGTGGCTAAACTGCAGGAAACAGGATATATGGTTAGAAAAAAAGGTGTTAACATGATACGAAACACTTCAGATGAGTTCTAATTCTGTACCAAGAATATATCATGATCACAAACATTGACACTCAAATACATTTCAATAAATAAAAGACGATCTAATGATTCTTGTGAAGGTTCACAAATTCACAAAATTCACAAATTGAATTGTAACAGTATCTTTGCTTTTAATTAAGTGAATGACTATAAATACAAGTCCATTCTTAAATTCATGATTGATATTTTGGTCTTCAATTTGAAACAAGATATGGCTTATGCTAAACAACCAATATATTTTGTAAAAAGAAAACTTGCACATTCCTTAGTGGTTTTTGATTTGAAAACCTTTGTATGCTCCTTAACATTCTGTAATGGCCTTTAATATGATCTATAATGATTTTCGTTTGAGTGCTATGACCTTCAATGTAGTACATTTAGTAGCCAGCTGACCACTAAGTCAGTACTAGATAACCTCCAGTTTAGTACCCAGCTGACCACTAAGTCAGTACATGTACTAGATAACCTCCAGTTTAGTAGCCAGCTGACCACTAAGCCAGTTCTAGATAACCTCCAGTTTAGTACCCAGCTGACCACTAAGTCAGTACTAGATAACCTCCAGTTTAGTACCCAGCTGACCACTAAGCCAGTACTAGATAACCTCTAGTTTAGTACTAAAACTTTTAATTCAGTACCATGGCCTCTTATTCTGTGGTATGACTCCAGTGCTTAAACCTTTTGTGAGGTGGTTGGTAGGGTTTTAGTGCCTCATACTTCTGTGAGGTGGTTGGTAGGGTTTTAGTGTCTCATCCCTCTGTGAGGTGGTTGGTAGGGTTTTAGTGTCTCATCCTTCTGTGAGGTGGTTGGTAGGGTTTTAGTGGTAGGATATTGGTCATCATCCAGAGGCAGGTTACAACCGATGTGGTGGCCATGGCCCAGCTGGTGTAGCTGGTCCCATACAGGATCAGGGGTAGGTTGAGGGGCATCAGGAACACCACCACCTGCTCGGACAGGAGTACCACCTTCCTCCACAGCACACCCCATAGTATGTACAGGACCGGGAGGTAGGCCAGCACCAGAAGGATCTCAACCACACAACGTAGGACAGTGAACCCATAAGCATCCCAGATCCTCGTCCTGCAGATGGCTGCTACCAACAAAACTACAATTGCAGTCAGTTTAGTTGGGACTGTCTGGTTCTCCTCCTTCAAGTTAACCAGGAAATGTGTGTCCTTCTGAAGACATATCAGGACAAGACTTGCTCCACAACACTATCAAAAAATAAGGAAAATATAGGCTGAACTGCTTTGTATAATATTTAATCCAGTGGGAAAATTTGTTACTGTAAACTACATATAAAATAATAGTTGTTGATGTCTTTAATATTCCAACAAAAATGTCTCCAATATATTTTGTGTAGGTGTGTAACGATGTCAATGACAGTACATGTACTTAAAAAGCTCCACTGTAGTTCTAATAGACTCTTACAATAACATAGTCTATTTTCTTAATGTAAGTCTTGTTCATAAGTGTTTTTGAAATTTTGAATATTTGAAATTTTAACAGATTGTTTCATTTATTTGGGAAATTCACCATTTGAAACATTTAATGCAGAAATGTTCCAAAATAGTAATCAGAATCATAGAATTTTATTGTTGTAATCGACAGCGGTAAAGGTACAAAAGACCTACCCAGACGTCATGTAAGAATCCAGCCGCGGGAGCCAACAGACAAAAAAGCAGGAAGGACATGATAGTTGCTGCATTGCCAGCTATGGGCAACAGTGAGGTGTGTTTCTTGTCATCTTTATCTGTTGTTAGTGGAATAATCGCCTTATACTGTAAAGAATTCAATAGTGTGTCAGACCATACGTTATTCAATTGTGCGTCAGATCATACCTTGTCAATGGTGCATCAGACCATACCTTGTCAATGGTGCTTCAGATCATACCTTGTCAATGGTGTGTCAGACCATACCTTGTCAATGGTGCATCAGACCATACCTTGTCGATGGTGTGTCAGATCATACCTTGTCAATGGTGTGTCAGATCATACGATGTCAATGGTGCGTCAGATCATACCTTGTCAATAGTGCGTCATACCATACCTTGTCAATGGTGTGTCAGACCATACCTTGTCAATGGTGTGTCAGATCATACGTTGTCAATGGTTCGTCAGACCATACCTTGTCAATGGTGTGTCAGATCATACCTTGTCAATGGTGTGTCAGACCATACCTTGTCAATAGTGTGTCATACCATACCTTGTCAATGGTGTGTCAGACCATACCTTGTCAATGGTGCGTCAGATCATACCTTGTCAATAGTGCGTCATACCATACCTTGTCAATGGTGCGTCAGACCATACCTTGTCAATGGTGTGTCAGATCATACAATGTCAATGGTGCATCAGACCATACCTTGTCAATGGTGTGTCAGATCATACATTGTCAATGGTGTGTCAGATCATACATTGTCAATGGTATGTCAGATCATACGTTGTCAATGGTGCGTCAGACCATACATTGTCAATGGTGCGTCAGACCATACCTTGTCAATGGTGTGTCAGATCATACATTGTCAATGGTGTGTCACATCATACATTGTCAATGGTGTGTCAGATCATACATTGTCAATGGTGTGTCAGATCATACCTTGTCAATGGTGTGTCAGATCATACAATGTCAATGGTGCATCAGACCATACCTTGTCAATGGTGTGTCAGACCATACCTTGTCAATGGTGCATCTGATCATACTTTGTCAATGGTGTGTCAGACCATACCTTGTCAATGGTGTGTCAGATCATACAATGTCAATGGTGCATCAGATCATACCTTGTCAATGGTGTGTCAAATGACATTGCACCATACATTTTATTGTCAGGTCATTATCAAATCCCAATAATTTAATTTCTAGATTTTAACATAAGGAACTATGGTATATTGTAACTTTTAATGACATAGCTTATGTTCTTAATACAGAAACTTTACAGACTTAAGTTCTTTCCACTGCTGAATATTTACTTATACATTATTCAATGGAACAGACAGTCAAAGTATGAAACAGCATTTTTTTCCCCAGATTTGTAATGTATCGCTAGTCTGCAATTTGAAAGAGTGAGATGTCATTGACATTAAATGGAGTAGAGATCTTGTTACAATACATGTTCATTACCTTCTGTAGAGACAGGATCTTGAGACACACACTGACTGTGAGGTTAGCTGCTAGGAACAGTTTCCAGGCGGGAACATGGAGGATTGCTTGTTTTCTATCTTTGGTGATGAGATCTGATAAAAGGGACACCTGAGACAGCACCATAAGTACCACACACCTGTAAATACACATGTCACCTATAACCAGGCATCACAAGTGTAAATACACATGCCACCTATAACCAGGTATCACAAGTGTAAATACACATGTCACCTATAACCAGGCATCCCAAGTCATACAAATCCCCGCGCATTCACACATTGTGTGCCATATGTATGAGGGAATGAATAGAAAACTCAGTGATGTATCAGTTCTGCTCTAGCATTCTTCGATAGATAATAGATTTTTATTCCATTGTGGAATAAAGTAAAAAGAGCGATGACAAAGTTTTATAAAAATAGTAAAAGTGACCTTGACCTTTAAGGTTTTATGAAATTCCATTTAGGAATGTAGTTGGTAGAGTGATGACAATTTTTTTTCTTCTAAAAATAGTAATAGTGACCTTGACCTTCAACGTAGAAAACCGAAACGCAAATTTGTTCAAGGCATTGCCATACTAAACACTTGTATGAAGTTTCATGAAATTCAGTTGATATATGAAGTCACTAGAGTGATGACAATGTGTGTAACATACGTACATTCATACAGTCATACATTCGTACATATGTACGTATGTACAGACTGAATCCTATATCCCCGCAAACATTTGTTGTGAGGGGATAATAAACTTACGCCTGTCAATATAGTTTATATCATTTACCTGAAAATGTACCATACACCTGCAAATATATTATACACCTGTAAATATACCATATGTCTGTAAATACACAATACACTTGTAAATATAGCACACACCTAATATGTACCATACACCTGTAAATATTTTATACACCTTTGAATATATCATACACCTGTAAATATATCACACATCTGAAAATGTATCATACAGCTTTAAATGTACCATACATCTGTAAATATACCATACACCTGTCAATGTGACACACACCTGTAAATGTGAAACACACCTGTAAACATTCACAATTAGACAATATGTCTTTACAGTGTAATGTGATTGTAAAATTAGTGTTTTATACTCACAGTCTGATCATGTGCTGCTCAAATGAATATCCTAGATGGCTGGCTTTGAAGAAGCACAAAAGAGCACATGTGATGAACAATGATGTGACAACAAACATGGCCGCTCCAATAAGTGGAATCTCCTCCTCTTCCTGGTAAAGCTTGAAACAGACAAGCAGTCACAGACATTTCATATCTACACAATTTGGTGTGGAATGGACTATCAATGTCACAGCTATCTTAAGTCACCATTATATTATCTGGTGGTATTAATTTTAATCACAGCAAAATGTTTCAAAGAATTGCAAAACTCTGAATTATTGGTACACACAGTTTAATAAGGAGATGAAAACAAATGCGAATAATAACACTGACAAATCAGTAAGGGCCCTGAGGAGTGTATGTGAAGTAAACAGACAGGTTATGTCACAGTAGTAGTATCTGAGGTCGTCATAGAGAAATAAAAAAACATCAGCATTCATACCCATGTGACATATGAGAGTATATCTGGGGTCATATTCATGAAACTGTTCTCATGCTTAAGCTTGGATTTTGTGCTCAAACCTAATATCTAGTTTCGTTCATAAATTAATAATGAAATCAGTTTTTGCCAATACGTTTTGGGGAAAAAGTGAAGAAACTTAAAACCAAATTCAGTTTTAAATGTTTCCATTGACTTTTTGATCGTTTGACATGATTTAAGTGAGTTACAAGAAAGTTGGTTTGAGCACAAAATCCATGCTTGAGCAGGAGAACTATTCATGAATATTCATAAAATTTCATGATGATAAACACTTGTTCAAACAATTAAGCAATCAGACCTAGAATCACTTATAGTGAGAAGCTGTCAAGTTTAACCACTTAAGGAGACCTGTTCCAGTAGAAGCTGTAAAGTTTAACCACTTAAGGATCCCTGTCCCAGTAAAAGCTGTAAAGTTGAACCACTTAAGGATCCCTGTGCCAGTAAAAGCTGTAAAGTTTAACCACTTACGGATCCCTGTCCCAGTAGAAGCTGTAAAGTTTAACCACTTAAGCATCCCTGACCAAGTAAAAGCTGTAAAGTTTAACCACTTAAGGATCCCTGTCCCAGGAGAAGCTGTAAAGTTTAACCACTTAAGGATCCCTGTCCCAGTAGAAGCTGTAAAGTTTAACAACTTAAGGATTCCTGTCCCAGTACACTGACTTTTTTTGTACATATAGTGACCTCCCTTTAATTTCATTTTGAATACAACTGTAGCAAAGTTGGGTGGTGACCCTTCTGTTGACCAGGTCGCTCATTTGGTTAGAGTGATAGTTTACCAATCTCAAGTCCAGGGTTCAAATTCCAGTCTATTCCTGCTGATCTTTTTACATTCAGAGCACTATTGTTGATTACATTTTATTTCATCCTAATTCTTTTTTCATAAAAGGCCCACAAGGTATTATTATAATGATTATTAACAATCCAATGATGTCTTTCCAAAGATGGAAGCTGGCAGTTAACAATATATTTCTTGATTTATAGAGTCAAGATCTGTGTAAAAATATTTCGACAAATCTGTATGTGGGAAAGTCTCCGACATATATGTATGTGGGAAAGCCTCCGACATATCTGTATATGGGTAAGCCTCCGTCATATCGGTATGTGGAAAAGCCTTCGACATATCTTTATGTGGGAAAGCCGCTGACATATCTGTATGTGGGAAAGCCTCCGACATATCTGTATGTGGGTAAGATGCTGACCTATCTGTATGTGGGAAAGTCTCCGACATATTTGTATGTGGGAAAGCCTTTGACTTATCTGTATGTGGGTAAGATTCTGACATATCTGTATGTGGGAAAGCCGCTGGCATATCTTTATGTGGGAAAGCCCCCGACATATCTTTATGTGGGTAAGATCCTGACATATCTGTATGTGGGAAAGTCTCCGACATATTTGTATGTGGGAAAGCCTCTGACATATCTTTATGTGGGTAAGCCGCTTACATATCTTTATGTGGGTAAGCCGCTGACATATCTGTATGTGGGTAAGCCGCTGACATATCTTAATGTGGGAAAGCCGCTGACATATCTTTATGTGGGAAAGCCTCCGACATATCTTTATGTGGGTAAGCCGCTGACATATCTGTATGTGGGAAAGCCTCAAAGAGTCTCTTATTATACTAATATCTATAGGTTAGACCTACCATGATCACAGCTCTGACTCCAGGACAGAAGCCCAGTACCAGGGAACATGCAGCAATCTGATAAAAGTTACGGACAAAGTCTGTTCCTATGACAACAGCAGTCAACAAGACACTGGCCATTTCCATCCACTGGAAAGCACAATACCTGTGAAAAAGGACACAACAATGAACATTTTAGGACACTGCAACGAAAATTATTAAGATTTTTTTTTTGTCTTAATGTATCGGGAGTGAATGTAGTTTAACATTTATACTGGTAAATATAGCTGATTAGATCACAGTTTATTATTACAGCTTCAATTCAAGTAGTTTAAACAGTTTATTATTAACCTGTGCATATCTTAACTCATTCACCCCTGAAATTTTATAATGAACTTTTCCAATCTTTTAATTGGAAGAGTTCAAATGTGTCTTCTAGGGTTAAGGAGTTAATGAACATATTTAGATTTTTCATAACTAAAAAATCAGAAATTTTACAAAATATCTACAAATGAAAACTTAAGGATAATAACTGATTCTGTTGGATAGATCCCTTGTTACTGACCATGTGAGTTCAGCACCAGGCTGTAACATGAGTATGAACAGACCAATGACGATGGCCACGATGCCCAGCTGTCTGACCTTGACATTGCCAGACAAGTGGAGGGAGCAGACGGCAATCACCAAAATACCACAGATGATGAAACCAATTCCTGTCAAAATAAAGTGTAGTCATATTCCAACATAGACCTGTCTTTTACAATTATGTTGGACACAAATGAGGGCTAGACCACAAGGGCTTAACTGTGGTACAAATGAGGGCTAGAAAACCAGGGCTTAACTGTGGTACAAATGAGGGCTAGACAACCAGGGCTTAACTGTGTTACAAATGAGGGCTAGAAAACCAGGGCTTAACTGTCGTACAAATAAGGGCTAGACAACCAGGGCTTAACTGTGGTACAAATGAGGGCTAGAAAACCAGGTCTTAACTGTGGTACAAATAAGGGCTAGACCACCAGGGCTTAACTGTGGTACAAATGAGGGCTAGACGACCAGGGATTAACTGTGGTACAAATGAGGGCTAGGCCACCAGGGCTTAACTGTGGTACAAATGAGGGCTAGAAAACCAGGGCTTAACTGTGGTACAAATAAGGGCTAGACCACCAGGGCTAAACTGTGTTACAAATGAGGGCTAGAAAACCAGGGCTTAACTGTCGTACAAATAAGGGATAGACAACCAGGGCTTAACTGTGGTACAAATGAGGGCTAGAAAACCAGGTCTTAACTGTGGTACAAATAAGGGCTAGACCACCAGGGCTTAACTGTGTTACAAATGAGGGCTAGAAAACCAGGGCTTAACTGTGGTACAAATAAGGGCTAGACAACCAGGGCTTAACTGTGGTACAAATGAGGGCTAGACCACCAGGGCTTAACTGTGGTACAAATGAGGGCTAGACCACCAGGGCTTAACTGTGGTACAAATGAGGGCTAGACCACCAGGGCTTAACTGTGGTACAAATGAGGGCTAGACCACCAGGGCTTAACTGTGGTACAAATGAGGGCTAGACCACCAGGGCTTAACTGTGGTACAAATGAGGGCTAGACCACCAGGGCTTAACTGTGGTACAAATGAGGGCTAGACCACCAGGGCTTAACTGTGGTACAAATGAGGGCTAGACCACCAGGGATTAACTGTGGTACAAATGAGGGCTAGACCACCAGGGCTTAACTGTGGTACAAATGAGGGCTAGACCACCAGGGCTTAACTGTGGTACAAATGAGGGCTAGACCACCAGGGCTTAACTGTGGTACAAATGAGGGCTAGACCACCAGGGCTTTACTGTGGTACAAATAAGGGCTAGACCACCAGGGTTTAACTGTGGTACAAATGAGGGCTAGACCAGCAGGGCTTAACTGTGGTACAAATGAGGGCTAAACCACCAAGGCTTAACTGTGGTACAAATGAGGGCTAGACCACCAGGGCTTAACTGTGGTGCAAATGAGGGCTAGACCACCAGGGGTACAAATGAAGATTGGTATGTAGATTAGATATTTATTGAATCAGTACAAAATGAAAATGTCCTATTGGCCTACCTGTTTGGGTTTGGATTGATGTTGTGTGTGTCTGTTTCTGCAGTGTTTATATAACATTTGTCAACAACATGTTTTATGTTCATCATGAACAAAGAAATGCTCCTTTTTTTGTACCTGTAGCATCAGCACCACTTGCATTCCCCTGGAATAGGTAGGAGGCTAGGATGAAGAGCAGAGGACTGATATTGGCCATCACAGACAGGGACAACAGGCCCAGGTTTGTCATGATCTGTGGGAGAAACCATCTCATATGTCACCAAAAAATCATTTATATATTAACAATTTTCATAGCAATACTATCAATCTCAGCACTACAACAGGGTATTCTATTACAACAGGGCATTCTATTACAACAGGGTATTCTATTACAACCGGGTATTCTATTACAACGGTATTCTATTACAACAGGGTATTCTATTACAACAGGGTATTCTATTACAAAAAGCAGAATTGTTCTCCAACCAACAGACTAGGAAGCTGGACAGCAGGAACGTTGGAGATCAGTTGTCAATGACTGATATCAGTTGTCAATGACTGATATCAGTTGTCAATGACTGAGATCAGTTGTCAATGACTGATATCAGTTGTCAATGACTGTGATCAGTTGTCAATGACTGATATCAGTTGTCAATGACTGAGATTGGTCTGTTCTTTATGTAACAGGAAGACTTAACATTATTACAGCAATAATTTCAATAAAGAAGTTTTCTGTAGTCATTATTCCAGTGACTGACATACCAAAACTGGCACATGTTTACCAAAACCATTTCTCATTTTATTCTGGTAGCCAATATTCATTAAACATGGTATATGATAAGTTTTTTTAGAATGCCATCAGAATTAGCAAAATGACTTACAAATTTCTGCTTAAAAGATTTTTTTTATTGTTTACTACTTACTTCTTTGACAGTAGCATCAGGGCGTATCTCGTTGGCAAACACTCGCGTGACCATGACGACAAAACAAAATAGTGTCATACAGTTGATTGCAGATAGCTCTTGGTAATGGACAAACACTGTGAGAAGGATGGCCAGACCCTTTGTGATGTGTGCTGACATACAGAAACAGGCAAGGTTCTGGGGGAGTCTCCGAGACACTTGTAACCTGGGGTAAAACACATTAAAATGATCAAATCATATACATTCTGATACAGACCCACAGTTTGTTCCTTTTTCAACATGTTTTGGAAATAGAAAACCCTTGAATGACTGTTGATAATCATGTTTATTTAACTCAAATCTGAAATTTTCATATCATCTGGATTTGGTTATATAAAAATAGTAGTTATTGGTTTATTTTTTTTTAGCAACAAATTAATATTAAATATTCCCAATGTTTTGAGATACAATTTATTCTCACCTGGGTTAACAAGGACATCCCTCTAGAATTTTTTTTTTTTTAATTACTCTTATTTTTGGCCTTTTATGTGATTTATTTACTTTTAAATGTTGATAGCTTTATCTGGATCGTATGTCACGTGTAAACCTTCCTTAAATCCTTTAAAATATCAATAAATCTTCAATTTTGGCTCTAGCAATGTTATATGCTATATAATTTATGTTTTAAATGTCTCACAAATTTCTCACGAATTCAGAGAAAAATCTTACTAGTTTTGACCAAATCTCACTAAAATAATCACTGATCTCACTATTTGGCACCGGAAAGTTATGGCATGTATGCAGATGGAAAACAAAATTAGCCTTAGCGAGTTTTCTTCTGAATTTGAAAAATTGAACTGTTAAAAAGGAAAGCTAATTAATCATTATTATAAATAATGGTCACAATATTGTGGAACTTCTCTCCGTCATATTTTTATGACATAATTGTTGACATACTTAAAACATTTGGAATTTTAATCTATTTTTAGTGTTTGTAAAGCTAGTCACATGTAAAATATAAACATCCATTATGTTACTACAACATAGATAAATGTCCGTAATGGAGGATCAGAAAGTGACGGTGAATGTTTTAACCACTTTAATTCAACGACCAGGGTTTAAAAAATCAAAGTGAGGGAAGATGTTGACCAATATATTACATTTTGAGAGAAAAAAATCCTATTTCCATCTTTACATTAATAGACCATATTTACCTCTGGATGGTGTAGGAAGCTGCTGTCATGGTAACAATAAACAATGGCCAGCCATATAGGCTGGCACTGAACAGGACCAGCTCACACTTTATAAATACTGCAATGAAAACAGAGACCAGTTTTACAAACTATTCACAAGTACATTTACATCAATTTGTTAAGTAAATGTGAAAACATCATGTCAATAGGAAATACTTTTCTGAAGTTTTTAGCAACCAGTGTTAGATTTTAGGTATTACCAAATAATATGAAGTCAGTATGTAATAAAATTATGAAGTTCTACAAAGATAACTAAATAAAATTTAAATCTTTATCTTACCGAAGGTTTGCAGGGTAAGCAGGATGCTGAAGACCTCCTGTCGTCCGTGAGTGGCTATGTAAGCAGTGGTCAAGCACAGACACGAGTTGACCAGGAGAAGTATATAAATACTGGTTAGTGGTAGGCCAAACAAGAAGTTAAATGTAAATACTGTTAAGGAAAAAGTATTTTCTATAATAAAAGATCCATTCTCAGTACATTTTGTCACTGAAATTTGAATTGTTGGGTATTTTAAATATTTCAAATATTTGCCCCAAATTTCTCAATTAGGTACTCTCCCTCCACCCTTATACAAATTATAACTCCAAATTAGTATGCTGTTAATAAAAACTTTTGTAGCAAAAAATCTATTTCTCAAAAGTACTTGAAATATTTGCTGTTTGTGACAAAAAAAAAGAATTTGTTCATTCTTACTTCACCAAAATGATTTAACTTACTACAGATCATAAAAGCTACCTCAATGGTATTGGTATGGTATTGTACTATCGGTATAAATGTAAAGGATATGTAAGTTTCCAAGGTAACTTGGCTGGCCAAACCAAAGAAAATATCAGTACAAGTGCAAAACACACTGAGGCAGCTGTCTGAAAAATAGGACAATAAAAAGCATGTTAAATGTATAAATAAATAATACAGTATCCAGAATAAATATCTATGTTGTTAGCAGATTACACATACATATCATTTATAGTCATAGATTCTCTTTTTATTTTCAATGTCACATTTGTCTTCATCTGTTCAAGTTTATATTGTAACATCAACAAAAGAAGTTTAAACATTGTGCAAATTATAAATGCTGATTTTTTATTAAGTATAAAATCACTAATATGCAACACGTATGTTTCCTAGTTTTTTACGTTGCTGTGCTCACCTTGTATTTTTTGTAGCCGAGTAGTGCACCAAACGAGGAATACAGAGCAATGGCTGCCGGCAACCAAGGCAGGAAGTGTGATGATATCCCTAAGTTAAGGAGAGCAGGATAACAGAGGATGGTAGCTACGGCACCACTCATCCATCGTACCTTGATAACATGGTCGTAGTTCATACCTAGTAACAGAAATACAGTGAGTTAGTTATGTTAATGCTGAAGGCAACAAACTATAGGGTCAAAGAACCAAACAGGACATCGCTATAATGCCATTTTCATTTACGTGGTCATAGCAGTTGTAAAAATAACATTATCAGGTGTAAATCGAAGTCGATGTGTGAAAATTACAGCAGGTCTAGTTAGACTCCTAACAGTCCTTAGAAAACTTGGTCAAAGCTTTCCTGGCAATATGGACCTAGTCTCCTTAAGGTATAGGCAAACTGTCACCCAAGTAGTTACACTAGAAAATCAACATCATGTATCATGTTGAATGTGAAAATACATATGGCACTGAGTGAATATCTACCACCCAAGCATATCACCCCATTATTTTACAACATATCTTAAAAGCATCACCAAAATAAGGACCCTACTTGTAAAATTTGTTAAAGTGTACTTTCTGAAAAGTAGTGATAACAAATGATATATGTCCAAGATGGCCACCTGGCATTCATTTTGTTTTTGCAATCAGTCCTAAAGTTTAACATGCACAATTATTGACTAACTTGAACTTAAATAACACTGTAAAATTTGATCCCTTCATTCCTTTAAAAAAAATAGTGATAACAAACTTTAACAGTCGAACTGTAAGATGGCAGTCTGGCGGCCACTTTAATCTTTTGATCTGTCTCAAAACTAAGCATGCACAGCTAAGGACCATGGGGAACTTCCAAGTAAACTTGAAACAACAATCCCTTCATTGCTTTCAGGGAAGTAGCAATAACAGACTTTTACTGTCAAAATCCAAAATGGCCAACTTAACCTCCGAACTGTCTCAAAAAACATGTACAAGTATGAACCAAGGGAAACCTACATATTTGTCAGGTACTTTTTTAGATATAGCGATAACAAGAATTGTTTAAGGACAGACAACGAACAAACAACAAACCACAGACAAAATGTAATTTGAACAGCTCTCCATCTCATGACTGAGAGCCCAAAAAACCCCTTATATTAAGTAAAAGAAACGCAGACGAATATTTATCAATTGGTGGTCAAGATAGGCTGTATAAAGGGGAATAACTCACCTATAGATTCTGTATAAAGGGGAATAACTCACCTATAGATTCTGTATAAAGGGGAATTACTCACCTACAGATTCTGTATAAAGGGGAATAACTCACCAATAGATTCTGTATAAAGGGGAATAACTCACCTATAGATTCTGTATAAAGGGGAATAACTCACCTATATATTCTGTATAAAGGGGAATAACTCACCTATAGATTCAATAACAGAACGAATACTCATCAATGTGGTGAGGAACATTGTAAGGGCTAACAGGAACACAACATCTACCTGTAAATTGACAAACAGTTATCAAGATATAACAGTATGTAAACAACAGGAACACAACATCTACCTGAAAATTGACAAACAGTTATCAAGATATAACAGTATGTAAAAAATAGGAACACAAACATCAATCTTAGAGACAAATATTGGGTTGCTTTATCGTCATGATCTAGTGGCTTCAAAAAATTTATATTTAGTTTGGTTTGAGTAAAAGCTGAATATAAATATATGATACATATGAATTTTATATCTACAAATAATAGCGATGTACATTACAACCTGCCCAGCAGTCCTACTCCATGATCAAAACATGTTTTTGCAATTAGATTATCGATAAAGTGTGAAATAACGCAACAATTGTTAAATATAGAAGCATAACATTATAGTATTTAACATTTTTACTAGATGAAACAAAACACCAGTGTCTGTTCATCACTGATATTGTTTAAATGTCAGCTCATGAAATTGTTTGCAGCAATGTAAAAACAGATTGAGAACCATTATACACACAATGTGAGTAAAATGAGTTATCACAACATTTTTTTGGTTTGAAATGGGGAAAATATAAAATGTTGCTTGCTTGGACTGTGCAGGACATTCTATACAGAAAGAAAAGTATGGAAGCACAAAGGAACAGACTCACAGAGACTGTGCAGACGGAGGAGGTGCAGCCTGCACAATTACCCATGATTCCAAGGTAAAAAAGGTAAAAATAACATGCCATTTAATTACACATGAATATAAGTACAGAACAACATATTTAGAGACAGAAGTTTAGGTCGTGTGGTTCGTAACATCCAGCCTCTACAAGGGGAAAAGAGATGCATGTCACAGTCCAGTAACAACGATCATTGACATTTTTTGTCTTCTCAATCATGTTTATAATATATATAAACTTTATTTATTTTACAACAATTATGAAACAAGTTATTCCAACTTATACCAATTACTCTTGTTGGCCCGGATGTTACAGCGTGGGGGGTCTTGGTGTGGGAGGAGATCAGAGTACCTGGAGAAAACCAACGAGGTCGGGCAGGTGACCCCAACCTTTTCATGTTCGATCGAGGAATCGAACCCCAGGCGTCTTGGTGAAAGGCAAGTGCGCTATCCACTGCATCACCCAGCCACCCATGTATACCCAGGACTTACCATTACCAAACCATAGATGGTTAAAGAATGTCTTAACCATGTATAACTGAAATTTACCATAAACCAAACCAATGATCCTGAAAGAATTTGTCTACTTAACCATGTATACCCAAGACTTACCATAACCAAATCATAAATATTTAAATAATGTGTCTGCTTAACCACGAGACTTACCATAAACCAGATGTGAAATACACCAGTGGCGGTGAGCTGATAAACACCTATCATGATTTGTACAAAGGAAGGCAACAAACAATACATTGTAGCTATGGCAGCCAACATCATATGGTCAACGATATTCTTAATGGGGTCGTCTTCTTTCACATCTGGTGGTTGTAATTTAAAAGAGGAATTTGTTGGTGTCATGAAGAGCTGTAAGAAAACGAACCTGCGAGAACAAATAAAAAATATTATTGACAGCGACAAATGTTTTCTCAAAACCAATGAGTATTAAATCCTGATGAGTTTCTACAGTATTTCACTACTAAATGATATATATTGTGATAGTTATTTTACCATACCAAAGGTACCAAACTTTCCAGTGAAAGAACAAGAGTACCGCGGGGCAGAACAATATACGCACGTCGAATGTCATTTAGTGTTATATACTTTCTTACATTGAAATAAGATCTGCATCATTCTAAGAGTGGTTAGCTGACATGCAATAAAAAATGTAGAAGAAAATCTCTGGACAAAAAATCAAATACTGAAATGAACAAAGGATAATATTTTTAGCAAAAATCGTTGAATTAAAATTCTTTTAAGGGAGACACAACTTCATATCATGATTATAATGTATACCAAGTTTCAAAGAGATCTGTTAAAAAATGTAGGAGGAGATTGCCGGACAAAAAACAAATACTGAAATAAACTAAGGGCAATAACTTTTGCAAAAATTCTTGAATCAAACTTCTTTTCAAGGAAACACAACAACATATCATGATTATACTGTGTACCAAGTTTCAAAGAGATCGGTCGAAAAATGTATGAGGAGATTGCTGGACAAACAAAAGTTTACGACAGACAGACAACCATAATACTTCCGTCAAATTTGAAGGGCGTGTAAAAAGATGAAAAGTCATTGTAATAATAAGAACTGTTGCTCAGCATAGCTTGGCCATTCAAAAAAAATAAAAAAATATAGTTAAGTCCATACCAGTGTGAAAAAAACCCCTTTTTCCTTCAGTTTTGACTTCTGTAAAACAATGTTTCAACCATGCCAAATATCACTATCATGGTAGAAATGTTAATTGTATTGTCATGGTTTGTAATTTTCACAGTGGTAAAGCTAGATGAATATGGTATTCATTACATGGGTACCCTATGAAAACACATTACCGTATCTCTAAGATCTAATTTACATAATATTTACCCAATAGCTGTCAGCACAAAGGGGATAAACTTGAGGGGTATGATGGTGGCTACTGCCCATGTAAGCAGGCATGCAGACAGCCCAGGGTAGGCAGAAAACAGGAGCTTTTCTGTCACCTGAAAAGAAAAAAGATTTTATGAGATATTGACATTCGCATGAACTTTTTCAAAATATTTCAAACATTTTTGCTTATTAAAATATATTCAGACAATCTTTTTTCTCAAAAATGATTTATTGGGGAAAATATCTGTGTTATTCAAGATTGATTTCTACCGATTTCCTATTAAAGTGAATATGTATAAATTAAGGATCAGCATAGTTTGTATACTATGCCATGGTTTTATTATCCACACTGTATGTATTGTGTAATGCCCTTGTCCTTCTCAAACACAGTCAGCTCCAAGGACTGATACCTACCACACACATCTCAGCTTCCTGTTTGCGGAATATTGTGAATTGAATGATCATCCACGCCCCTGTCAGTAGGACAAAGGCATTGATGAGTGCCATTAGCAACATGCTCAAAAGGGACACCCTAGAAACAAAAACATGGAATAAAGTTCAATAAACATTATTCAGTTTTTAATGGGAATTACTTTCAGACATGAGCAGACCTTACCAGTAAAGTAAAATGTTGCTCATTTAGCCTAACTAATGCAATTTGTTTTACCAATTTCTTTACCACATAAAATCTCTAAAAGTGACATTCTTCTTCAACATGAAATTTTGTTACTTAATTAGTGGATTGGTAATCCTAACAGACCAAAATAGGCAGAGCACTGATCTGGCAACAACAGTACCATCTACAACAGTGGACTCAATCATAGACGGATGTCACCATCTTTCATAGTACCCTCTACAACAGACATACAGTGCCCCATACTTACATCTACAACAGACAAAGTGCCCCCTACTTACATCTACAACAGACAAAGTGCCCCATACTTACATCTACAACAGTGCCCCATACTTACATCTACAACAGACAAAGTGCCGCATACTTACATCTACAACAGTGCCCCATACTTACCATAAGAGTGGAGTAAAGGAATACAGTACTAGGATATGACAAGGTATGAAGAGCACCATGAATATCACAACCGTTCTGAAATGAAATAATGTAGAAACTGTACTCAGTACATCCAATGTATTCAGACAGAACATTTTCTATGAATGTCCAGAGTAACCCAGTTAACTTAGGAAGTCCAGAATAACCCAGTTATCTTAGGATGTCCAGAATAACCCAGTTATCTGAGCATGTCCAGAATAACCCAGTTATCTTAGGATGTCTAGAATAACCCAGTTATCTTAGGATGTCCAAAATAACCCAGTTATCTTAGGATGTCCAGAATAACCCAGTTATCTTAGGATGCAGAAGGTTTTTGTTTCATTACAGTCCATAGTGATAATGAGTTTGGCAGATTTATGTCAGACATTTTAGTTATGTTGAGCAAATGTCTCAGTACCTCAAGAACACCCAACTAATATCTTGAGCTGTTGAATATATATACAACTTTGTATCTTGTGACTCAATTATCAAAATACTCTCTGAAACCTTATGATGACAATGAGATTAAATTAGATAGGCTGCGCGCGCCAAAACATATATGTAAATTAGCATGTTCTACATTTTAACCACGCAAACAAATGTCCAAGTCCATTTCAGTTGTCCATTTTGATCATTCTGAGGTTTGGGGTTTCTCTGTCAAAATATTTATGAAAATAGTACCATGTCATGATGTTGAAATTAGTTTACATTGGATACCCAGACTGACTGGATACTTTTTTATTTCAGCACTAATTATACTTTATTTCAGCACTAATTATACTTTATTTCAGTACTAATTATAACTTATTTCAGCACTAATTATAACTTATTTCAGTACTAATTATAACTTATTTCAGCACTAATTATAACTTATTTCAGCACTAATAACATTTTATTTCAGCACTAATTATACTTTATCTCTGATGATCTTCCATGGCTAGAGTTAGCATTTGTTTTTGCATGTACTGTCAACATCATCTGAACGTTTACATTTTGTCACATATTGCAACTATACAATCAAACACTTGGAAAAGTTAAATTCAAGGATTTCTCTTAAAATATCTTCCAATGCAAGAAGTGGATTGCAGTGATATTGAAATTCCATAAGGCAGTTGATTGTTATATGCACTATGGTCCTAACAAAAATGGCAGAGGTTTGTTTTCTATTCTAAATTTGATGTTTTAGACATATGGTAGGATCATTTGACTTGATGTAAGCTTTGTTCCTGAGTTGTCTGTTGATGTCATTAGCAGTGACATATGATATGGATCAATACCAGGTAGGTATGTGTATAAACGTTTGACTATCAGTGATATATATGTAAATACCTTTGGTTTTGTCCTCCATGGTCAATGGAAAGCAGCAATGCCACACCAAAGCTTGCAATCACTAATAACCTACAAAACAGATACAGTTAAAAGCAAATACAAGGTCTGGATTCTTCAAGGCCTGTTCGCCATACACCAAATTAATGCAAATATCTAAGCTAGCATATTTTTAATATTAAATTCTAGAACTTAAACTAAATGTATGGATTGAAACATCTTTTGTATAGATATTGTTTCTCTAAATACTTTCCATTAAAGACCAATTAAGCAAATCTAGCATAAAACAATCAGGCCTTAAAATAAGGTACACATACAGACTATAAAAGCTGGCAACATATCCCAGCCCTGCAAAGATTTCCTTTTATTCCACCTATACTTTCCATTAAAAAAAACTCAAGCAAAGGAGAGGTCATGAAACTGGGAGCTTATCTTATTTTGAAAGGGTCAAATATCTATTTGATAAAACAATGCTTACACCAATGTTTATTCAAATTGATTAAACTGAATCTGACCAATATTAAAAGAGACACAAAACTAGCAAGTTGTTTACAATTTAGGTAGGTTAAAATATTTCTCAATTCTAAAATACAACATTGTAAGTGTACAATTTACTGCTTGTCACATCTAAATATGTATAATCGATCACTTAAATTTAGAAACTTTTATTCCAATGGCAAATATATAGATCAATTTTGATCAGGTATATAATTTTCATAGTTATCTCCCTTCATCAGCTATGATTTGGCTGTTTTTTCTTTCCATTTCAAAATGGAATAAAATCAATGATGTTTCTTTAAATAGCTTGTTGTTTTGTTCCTTATCATTTCTTATTGTAACTTACATTTCTCCACAAACTGCAAATAATATTAGAAGACATGGTATGGCAGCAACGCACACCTTTCTGTTGTAACGGAAATGTCCAGGATCATAAAATACTTTGTGCTTATGTGGCATTTCCTCGTTATCTTCTGCATCAGCAGCATAATCATCATCATTTAAGTCATCATCTTCCAGGCTGATGTCATAGTCGTCCTGGTAACCTGACCTCTGATGTACGTCTGAGTTATAACCTGCTGTGTTACTGGAATTGTAGTTGTCTGCGTTATTGGAGATGTAATCCTGAGTGTCGACTCGGTCTGAGCCAAAGTACATTGAGTCGCCTCCCAGGTCTGCTTCATAGTCAATAGGGTCATCTCTCAGATTTAGGTCTGAAGTGTCATCTCTCAGATTTAGGTCTGAAGTGTCATCTCTCAGATTTAGGTCTGAAGTGTCATCTCTCAGATTTAGGTCTGAAGTGTTTTCCATCTTGTCCAGTCAGGTATTACTGCATCACCATTTTGTTGAATGCACTTATCTGAAAAATAGAAAATGTATGTCAATTTTTAGCTGTCAGCTTCACATTTTGCAATTGCTTTCAGCCAACATATCAGCTGTATGGCTGCTGTATCTAAATGATAATGCAGATTTTTTTGGTCTAAATTTTATAATTTAGAAAAGTCTGCCTTTTTATAAAATACATGCAGGCAAGGTAATACTGTTGTATGTAAACTAGAATGGAATGACAGATTTTCCATCCCAGTATTATTACTGTAGATACTGTGAATCAATCTTACATTTTAAAATTGTGAATCAATCACAACCAAACCATTTTTACTTTCCTGTTGAATGTTCAGTTCTGGTCTGTGTGTTGTTTTATTATAAAGTGAAACTCTCCTGTAGCAACCATAGCATAATGACATCAAACTATAATTTGGTTCGGTTTGGTTTGTTTGTGTTTTACGTCCTATTAACAGCTATGGTCATTTAAGGACGTGCCAGGTTTTGGTGGTGGAGGAAAGCCGGAATTCCCGGAGAAAAACCACAGACCTACGGCCAGTACCTGGCGATCACTGCACCACGTAGGCCTCAAACCGGAGACCCAGTGGTGCAGGGCTAGTGGTACATGTAGTAGAATGACAGACGACTTAACCATCACGGCCCCACCCTATAAAATAACATGTGAAAGTTCAGTGTCATATAAACTGTCTTCACTCTTCAGTCATTATCCATATGATTACTCAATACTGGCATATGCTATCCTAAGGATAATGCCAGAAATTCTGTGTGTTGGAAGATTTTCAATTTTTCATATAAACCTTTAACCACAAGTATTGCTATATTATTCAAATCAGCTATGTGAAAGGAATCTTTGATCACCTACAGATCAGCAAAGGGACACTTTCAGTTTGTTAAACCTATAACGTAAAATCTGCAGGCACAGGAATACATTAATGAGTTATACAGTGAAATCTGTGGGTCCAGGAATAAATATTTGAATTATAAATTAAAATCTGCATACCCAAGAATATATTATTGCATATATGAGGAAATCTGTAGGAAAAGGTATACATTTTGAATTTGTGGTAAAATCTGCAGTTCAAAGAATAAACATTTGTGTTATATACATTGAAAACTTGGGGCCCATGAATACATTTATGATCTATACAGTGAACTCGTATTGCTTTCTGGCAATGAACGAAGTGTTCACAAAACTTTCAAAACCTGCATTAACATTTTAAGGTCTGTCAAGCTTCGGCGTTAAATATAACATTGACAAACCTCTTTGTCAATATAAATGGACAGATATTGGTAAGCAAATAAAAGCAAATTTTGTGAAATTATGAAAGGAAATCAAACCGAATAATAATACAGTACAGGTAAACTGATGACATCGACATGACTATGTATAAACATTGTAAATATCGCTATTTACATCGCTAGAATGTGTAATGGGATGGTTTGTTATCGGAGATTAGCATTGCCGACATGTGGCAACGAAATGCTTACGTCATTTTGTCCCTGCAAGCTCACTGTGCTCCATTATTTGTAGAATCGAGATTCAGGTGGTCTGGGAAACCTGCCATGTTGGGGAAACCCCTCTAAATGACGTCACTTCGCACGTGCGAAAAAGGAAATCCGCGCATGTTTTGGTGACGTCATGATGGAAGGTGTACAAGATGGCGGCTGTCGGGTGCATGGAGAATAGTGGGGATAATAACAGTGAAGAAAGACAGGACAACTGTGTCTCTGATCTACGTGAAATGTGCAAGAAAAATGGGTTGAACCACAAATTTAATTATGAAGAAAAACCAGGTGATTGTATCAATGCAAAGGAGATGATTTTGGAGAAACTAACAAGGATCAATGGTACTAACAAACACAATTCATTCACGAAACCATCGATTCCAACACTTCGGTCGCGTGGGGAGAGAGTGTCCGGGGGGCAAGACTCGCCCCGCCGGACAAGGAGGTTGTCCAAGCAGGATCAAGCTGAGCCACGAGTCATGTAAGTTGTACAAAAGCTTGTATATACGTGCGACCCCTCCTCTAGTTGCATGGCTTCCCTGGACAAAGGGGCTTCATTGGGGCACCTCCACGGGGTAATCAATTTTTCCCCAAGTGAATTTTGTTTATTTGTTGCTTCGCAACAGCATCGTGCAATCGTTAAGATGATGACATTTGTAAATGTAGATAAGTATTATTATTGACATTTGGTGTTATTGTTGTTGTAGGTTAAGTTTCATATTTTGTCAATTTAGCCGGTCCCTTTAGAAACCATGCTTGCTAATGTCACCATGACCAGCTGTAAAAAAAATGATTTACGAGAATCTTTTCAGAATTTGTAACAATGATTTCTTATCTTTGATTTCTTAAAAACGTTTTTATAGTAATACAAATTTTAATGAAGAATAAGACAAACTTTATTTTTTCCTGATTATGCTTCCTGCATTTCACTTAAAAAATATATTTTTTTTTAGTTTATATGAACAAGCTTTAAGATATTAGAAGCAAAATGTATTACATATTCTAGATAAACTGTTTAAATTTCATTCAAATTGGGTTAAATAGTCATATATATATCTGTACAATAATAAAGGGTTAAACTTTACTCCAATGGTGTGTAAAATTAACAACTACAAATAATCCATTGAATATTTATTTTTTTAAATTAATAGATATAAGAGAACATAGAAATTTGAAAATTGCTGTACCCAATTGGTCCATGAGAAAATAAGGAGCCACATCTGAAAGTCCTCAATTAATTGCATAACTTTTCAATGTGTTAATCTAGATCTACATACATTGTAGATTAGACACTGAAAGGAAGAATATGAATTGATTAGTTAAATTACTAATACTGTAACATGTAAAATTAAAATCAATCAAACTTCTCAACAGCAGGGTATAGATATGATTAGCTTAATTATCCATAGAACATTTTGCATTGATGTAAAAAATTACACGGTCACCTTGTTTTATATATTACAAAATAATGTTTAGTAAACAAAAACTTAAAAAACGTATTATGTTTTTCCTTTATATTAACTCATAAGTTCAATCACGGAATTAGATTAGAGTGAAAGGCAACTGCCTCTTCGGCATAGGAAATATGTCTAGGGCACTTTGTTTTGCGAGAACCTGTGAAAAAGCGCAAGAATTTACCTGATTTGGGAAAAAAATGCCGCTTCAATCATCGTAGAAATTTATTGCCTTTGAAAAGTTATACATTCTGGGGAATCCTGTACCGTAACATTTTCCACAGTCCAAAATAATTGATTTTTGATTTACTTCTGTCTTTATTTTTATCATATTTGTTGTGTCAAATACTAGTAAAATGTCTCAAATTGCAAAAGTTTATAGTGAACCTACACAGTTGCCAACTTGAATTATTACATGGCTTAACACCCGCCATTAACGTCTTTTGTTTGTTTTCTTGCTAATAAATAGATTATTTGACATACAAACTAGACATTATTGCTTTTAGATATGTGTGTTCAATCGCAACATGTAGTTTTAAGTGAACCCTTACCTCTGAAATCGTAGTATTTGTATTCTGAAAACGGTTGTTGATCGGCATGTTTTTAATAATGGCCGCCATTTAGCCTTAGATTACTGATCGCGGGTGGGTTCATGAATGCATGTAATTCTCGGTTATTGATCATAAAAATGTTGTAATTTGTTTACATAATTACAATCTGGTATATTATCATGTACACAGAACGATATCAATCACACTGACGATCTACAAAGTGTATTTTTACGGCTCTGAATATTGACCAAAATTCATCATGATGCAATAGCGTATGATTTCACTCCCCTCATCGTCTTGCTTTACACTCCGCTGTTTGAGTTTTGAATCACTTGCTAACAAATAGATAATTAGACATACAGACTGAACAAAATTGCTTTTTGATATGTGTTCGATCGCAACATGTGGTTTTAAGTGAACCCTTACCTCTGGGATCGTAGTATTTGTATTCTGAAAACGGTTGTTGATCGGCGTATATTGAAAAATGGCCGCTATTTAGCCTTAGATCACCGATCGCGGGTGGGTTCATGAATGCATGTAATTCTTGGTTATTGATCATAAATATGTTGTAATTTGTTTACATATATATAATTACAATCTGGTATATTTTCATGTACACAGAACGATTCAGTTGCATTGATGATCTGGAATGGGTATTTTTACGGCTCTAGATATTGACCCGAATCCATCGTGATGATTCCTAATTTCAGCATGCAAAAACAGAAAAAGGGGGTCCAAACTGCTTCAAAGCCTTACAAGTTTAATACACCATTCCACACCACAAAAATTAACTTTTAACTAAAAAAATAACCAGTTCATTTTTTATCAGAGTTAACATTGAATTCTAATATAATTTGTACAATAAGTACAATGTACATGAAATGTGTGCATGGAAAGTCATGAATAAACACCGATTCACATATTGCAGGGCTTTATGTTGATCCTTGATAAGTATTTTTTTGTCTCCAAAATTATATCTTTTGAACTTTTGGCTTAATTTGAATGAACATGTCAATTTGATATGGTTTTGACCCTCTAAATATGAAGGAAAATGTTTATGAAATGGTTCAACTTAGCCGTGTTCATTGTATATATTATATAAAATCAAGCATATGGACTTTATTATTAGACATTAGGCAATAGACTGTCATATTCTGTGAAAACTTAACATGTGGTTGTATATGTATACATGTTTGTCATCTATTTTTCCAAAGTATATTTTACTTAGTTAATACAAGTGAACTAATGAATTATTTAAAATACATCTCTTCATTTTGTTAACCTACAGCAAAACTATATGTTGCATGCTCTTGGTTCTATCTTAAGTGTGATTGATATGAAACATAAATAGTAATGATACTTATATAACAATACATATATTCACTAATTGAGGTACAAAACTGACAACAAATCAATTTGGGAAGATAATAATCAATTACATACCAAATGTATGTGAACTGCAAACTTTAATCTGTATACAAGTCTTAATACTGTGTTTTAAACTCAGGGTTTATTCAAACTGGATGTATAGCTTCTTTAATAATTGTTCTCTTTTTTACACAGCGGACACATCTTAATCAGTTCAAGAAAAAAAATCTTGAAAAACAAACAAAATAAAAAGTTACCAAAGAAAAATTCTCTGGATTAATGTAAAAAAAAGCTAAAAGAAGTTGAAGATCATCAGTCTTTAGGAATATATTGATGATTTAAATGACACTGAAAATTGTTGCTGACAACATGATAGCTTTAACGAGTGGGCTTGATACCTGTAGTACAACAGAGCTAGTGGTGCTGTCAACAGGAACACTAGTGGTGGAGCTGTCCCTGGAACAGCAAGTTATATTTTGGTTAGCTGGAAAAGATACAAGAATGTTGCATTCAAATTTAAATCATACTGGTTCCTAATAGAAATATTAGAATACTTTGGACTTATTATTTAGTTTCTGGGACCAGAAAAATGATTGGGGGGGGGGGGGGGGTATTATGTCAAAAAGATTGTACTGTGTGTAGTATTTTTGTCACAGCAAAGACATAAAATGTATCAAATAGATATGTCCTTTTGAATCAAAGATCATTGTATGGAGTCAAAACATTCTCAAAAGTCTGTAAATATTGACAAAATGCTGAATTGAAACATGATGAAATGAAATTCAAAATCTCAATGAACTATTTTGTTCATTTTTGGGAAAGTCAGGTTTAGATACACTTTATTTTAAGCCTGATTCATAGTGCTGGGACATTTCACATTTTTCTAATACAGAAAAAAGAAAGAAAAATAAGAATCTACGAAAATGCACCATGTGGAGTAATTACGAATAAGTTGCACCAAAATATGTTTATGATTTAGATATACTTGCTAATAATTGAAAATTTAATTCAATGAATTCATTAGAATTCAGCCATACTTATTTTTGTGTAGGAACTCCAGACTGACTTGCTGTGATGTTATCCGATTAAACAGAAATCATGTCGCAGAAATCAAGAATTTATTTCTGTATCACAATATTAATGACAACAAAGGATATACATGTGGAGCCAAGATGATGGAATTCAGGTTTGAAACATGTCTTCGATTGTTGCCTAGAAATATAAACATATAAAAGTGTTCTATTTTTTAGGTACATATATTATTAAATGACCTATTCCAAATCTCAAAATCTTGAGAATAACATATCATAAGGTCTGCTGATGTTCTGTATTTTTCTAATAAATGGTTTAAAAATTAAAATGTGTAATAGGACAAAGTTATTGCTAAACGTTTACCCTTTAAGTCACTTCTCCCACAGGGGTTTCATTACAAATGTCTGATATACATAACATTATGCCATACTGATATAGATCATAGCACACATAAACATACATGTGCTGTGACCTATATCAGTATAGCACATGTACATGTGTATTGGACATTTGTAACAAACCCCTGTGCTTCTACCGTGCTGTGTATGCCCTCGAAAGATCTTGATTTTGGTCGCTCGATATTTTTTTATTTTTTTGTAGAATCTTTTGTTTCATTTTCAAAATCTGTATAAATATTCTTTCATTAAAAAGTCTAAATCTAAATAACTATCATGATGTAGCTGCTTGACATAGTTTGCGACATCATCACATGTACGCATTCATTTTCTAAAGTTTTAGCCACGATGATTACACTGTGTTACTTGCCTGTCAAATCAGTGTCACACTATCGGTCTCTCGTCACCTAGGTAAACAACGTGTTTATCGATACCGGAAATCGGTCTGCGAGATAGCATGCAAGTGCAGTACAGGTATATTGGCTCCAGTGAGAGGTCACAGGCCATCACGGTTCAGTGCACAAATACAAGAGGTGGACAATACATACGCGAAATTAAAGAGGTGTTGCCAATCCCTGTTATCTAAGTTTGTGGTTCAATGAAATTAAAGTACAATGGGTAGGAGTATTTTGGAATTGTTACTTATGTCAGGGTCATGACCTCTGTGGTTTTAAAGTGTAC